TGTCAGAATATTATTGGTTGAAATTTGTTTCACAGGAAAAAAATCTATAATAATTTTGATATAAAAATACAATTCTGAGTTTTTGTGAATGTTTTAGCATAAATTGTTAACTATTGGAACAATATAACTGACGATGTGACCTTAAAGGGTTACAATTAAGTTTTTTAAATCACCTGGACTCTAAAAAACACTTTAATGAGCCACAAATGTTCCTTCATTACCGTGAACACAGATCCATCAGATAGTTCCTGATTACTGTCTAAATTTCACCAGTTTTAAACTTTAATGAGACAGATATCGCTGATTATACCTCCGCTCAGGTTGGGTGGACGTTTTCCTGCCCTGACAGGTGCAACAACAGTCCAATCAGAGGTCCAATCAGGCACAATGAGTAAAGACACCTGTGCAGGTCAGCCACAGGGCCTTCAAACAACAGTCAACATTTGGGAAATCTGTCTTGTTTTGTCAAACATACAAAAGGTTTTTATTTCTCAAAGATAAATAGTATGATTTAGCGAACACAGCAAATGTTTAACTCTCTTGAACAACAGAAAACAACAAAACACTTGACATAAATTACAATTGTGAAAAACAGGAAGTTGCAATCTGATATTAGAAAAACCAGATGCTCATGAATCAGAAAATTATTGGTCCCAAACTGTTTCCCAGCTCATTAAACCAAAGGTGCCTTAACGTCCATTTTAGATTTCTCTGGTTTATTTTTTGTCGTTGGGTAGGGAACAGTTTGGGTCGATTCCCTTGTTGGTGTCGTGGGTTTGTCAGCAGGAGTTCTCGACGCTGCCAAAGTTCCCAACTGGGTTTTTGTGAAAACAGCTGGAGGATGTTAAGGCTCAGATGGATATTATGGCCGCCGGCCCAGTCGGCACAGATCAGCAGCTGCTCGCCTTCGATTTGAAAACATGGAACAGAGAAATCACTTCCACAATCAATGGTTTGTTAGATCTTCTTAGGCCAATGCTTTGCTGGAATCGTATCGATTTTGTTTGCTTTTTATTTTATTTTAATGTCTTGAGGTGAAACTGATCAGCTTTTATGGAGAATTGAATCTCCAAACAGAACATTTTGTTTGTTGGTGTGAAAGTTCTCAAAATATTTTTTAGGATTAAAACATAAAATAAAACTTTAGTTGCTTTCATCCTTTCATCATTTACACTCATATAACCCTTAGTTTAATTTAGTACGGCCATCGGGTTGGAGAGTTAAAGCCCCGTACCGAGCTAGTAGCTTTTCTCCAGTTCCACACCAACAGAACCAGAACCTGGAGGTGATCTGTGATGATACCCAGGTAGAAACTAGTGAGGGTTTGTTGTCTTCTTACCGACTGTGAAACCAATAAATAACATTTCCTCCACTTTTGTTCACAAGATACAAGAAGTTTCTTTGAACCTTGGTGCTATCTAATGATCCAGATCCTGCGTTCCCCCCAGTTTTGAGTAAAACCATAGTAACCGGATGCTTCATCAATAGACTTCACAAGGAAAACTTCATATTTTAACTTTTTGGGTTCCGAACCAACCGAAGGTTCCCTGTTGGTGGAAAAGGCCTAATAATGATCCTGGTGTTGGTTTGATTCAGAAACCGGACCTTAAGCTTAACCTTTCAATGCCTCATAGGCAGAACTTTAACTCCTTTGAGTGATTCTACTTTATAGTACAAATGCATTTGAAAAGCTCAGAAGATTCAACATTTTAAGACAGTTTTCAGTAGAATTGTTCACAGTCAGATAAAAGACTGCTTGTTTTTCTGGTTGTTGAATTGACTCGTATCCGTTTTATCTTTTTAATGTTGTGCAGCTTCAGCCACAGTGGAGGACTTCCAGATCCGTCCGCACTGTCTGTTTGTTCACTCGTACCGAGCTCCGGCCTTCTGCGACCACTGTGGAGAGATGCTGTGGGGACTCGTACGACAGGGACTCAAATGTGAAGGTAGGAACTTAATGATGTAACATTAAGGACAAATCAACCCTAAGTCCCGGAAGTACAAAAGGTATAACGTTGAGCCTCTTTTCCTGCCCAGGCTGCGGTCTGAACTACCACAAGCGTTGTGCCTTTAAGATCCCCAATAACTGCAGCGGAGTCAGGAGGCGCCGCTCGTCCAACGTCTCCCTGACGGGGGGGCTGGTGAACATGGGCCGCCCCCTTTCTGCTGAGCCCTCGCCGCCCCACTACACCGAAGATGCATTACTGGTCAGTACACTAAGTCCCAACATATACATCCTAAAAACAGGTCTGGATGGGGAGTGGCGTTTCAGTAAGCCCCGCCGTCCTTAGTTACCGTTGCTACGTCTCTTCTTGTTTTCATCCTCTGCACATAACTGCGACTGATGTACCATCAAAATTCATTTTTAAACAATGGGTCCTCGATATGAGGCAGAAGTCGACAGAAGCAGCTTCGCACACATTGTTAAACGGGGACGATATAACCAAGGACGCAGTCTTAAAGGGTTAAAATTATATTTATTTTATTTTCAACACTAATCAGGAGTTTCTGGGGAAGTTTGTCTCAGTGATTATTTTCTTTCATTCATCAAACCGAGTCTAACTATATTTCTCTCTTTTGTTTTGATCGTCCAGTCTCCAGTGAGTCCCAGCATGGAGGTAAGTCCCCCCACTCTCATACTACTGCAGTACTGTATCTGCATTTACACTTCTAATTACTAAACTGAATCTGATATTTATTTGCTCCACTAATGTATGTCGAGATACAAGATGACGGCAGGAAGTTTCATTTAACACCTAAAAAGTGTGATTTCCTCTAATAAAGAGGCTTCAATCCTGAACAATAAAGCTGCTCTTCTACCATAAAGCTCAGTTTATTGCTCTGTTATATATAAAAAATATTATTCACTGTGTTCCGTACTTTTAGCAGTGACTGATGCAAACACTCTGTATACACACTGTATACTCCCGTTAGAAACTGATCAGAATTAGATGATGATCAGCCACCGTCCGTAATCAATACACACACATTATAAAACCATTAATCAAACCAATAACTAACAGCAGTCAATGTCAGACAACATTATCATACTTAACTGTCTTTGTAGTGGTGACAGCAGTTAAAAAAGCTCCCTGTCCGTCTGTCTTCGCAGCAGAAGAACCAGTTAGAATATTTCCCCGGCAGAGAGCGGCGCTTGAGCTCACAGTCCTACATCGGCCGCCCCATCGAACTGGACAAGATCTTGCTGTCGAAGGTCAAAGTTCCTCACACCTTCCTGATCCACTCGTACACCCGACCCACCGTCTGCCAGCACTGCAAGAAGCTGCTGAAAGGCCTCTTCAGACAGGGCCTGCAGTGTAAAGGTCGGCGTCTTCTGATACTTTGATTAACGTTTATTTGAGACAATCCCGCCGCTCACAGCTTCCTCTGTTTCTCCCACAGATTGTAAATTCAATTGTCATAAACGATGTGCTCCTAAAGTGCCAAACAACTGCCTGGGAGAAGTTTCCAGAAATGGAGGCAAGTTTCAGCCGTCAGTGTCACACAGGCCTGATCCACCTGAACCCAAAGTCCTAATGTCCTCACTGCTGGGCGTCTTTGTTTCGCAGAGCTCCTGAGCCCGGGGGCGGAGTCAGACGTCGTCATGGTGGAGGGTTGCCTTGACGACCATGATGTGGACAGAGGCGGCGGCCTGTTGGACGACATGGACGAAGCGCTGACATCAGAGGGGGGTCTCCTGCTGGAGGCGGGGCCGAGCGACCTCTGCGACCTGCACGACCCCGACCTGGACGAGTCCAACCGGGCCATCAGGTACAGAAACACTCACACACTTTTACTAGCATTCAACCCGAATCACTTACCCAAACTTCTGCTTATTACAAAGTAGGGACGCGACTTTGACCCCAATTAGACAAAACGTCTCCAAGATAAAAGCAGCAGAGCACAGAGCAAAAAGGGGAGGGGCTTTTGAAGGGTCATTCACCTGTCCCTGAAGGTATCCCGGGCACTGAGGTTGTTCTTTGTCCCGCCCCCTGCAGCCCGTCCACCAGTAACAACATCCCTCTGATGCGAGTCGTTCAGTCCGTCAAACACACAAAGAGGAAGAGCAGCAGCGTGATGAAGGAGGGCTGGATGGTCCACTACACCAGCAAGGACACTCTGGTACTCCACCTGTCTGTCTATCCACCTGTCTGTCTGTTTGTGCCTGCCTAGTCATTATTTACTATACTGATGTCTTGAATTACTTAAATATTCAACAGAAGTTTCTAGTTTGATATTCAAACCCGAGGATAAAGGAGTGGCCAATCAGATTTCCTCCTCTGGACCCCTGATTGAGAGATTTTCACATTTTGTTCTTCAACATAAAATCAGTCAGTAAATAACCTGTGAATTTTGAAATTTGGAGACGCCTGGATTAAATTGACCAAATATCCTGGAAATAAATAATCTGTTGTCCTGAAAAATGTTTATTATTACTAGTAAAAAGTATTTATTGTTTCTGTAAATTACAACAATGTATTTATTACGACGCTGCAGGTTTACGAGTCATTGAGGCTCCAAACTGTTGATCCATCCATTAAAGGATACAGCAGGTCTGAGATCAGCTGCAGATATTTCACTAAACTGCTGCTTTAAAGAGATAAAACATTTCACATTTAAGATCTTGCAAAAAAACTTTTGTAAACATTATTTTCAGGCTTTACTTTGAGGATAAAGATGAGTGAATATTGTCTGTGAGCGTTCTTTGTCGTCAGATATTTTATGTATTTAATCTCATTGTTTGTTGTTTTCTTTTGTTCGTACCTCGGCCAGCCCGTCTTTTGTTACATCTTTTGTTATAAATAAAGAAATAAATGCGCTGATAACGAGATGTGATGTGAAAATTAGGCATATAATTAATATCAGCAAGATGATTAAATGAGGAACATTAATAGATGAAAAGATAAGGAGAAACATTTTCTGCCAGTTGTGGTTTAGTTAAACAAAAGTGTAATAAAATAAATGTTTCCAGCCTGAGGAGGAGTTGAGTTTTTCTCACTGTTGTCTCATCTAACTCCCTCCTCTTCATCGTCTATGTTTCAGAGGAAGAGACATTACTGGCGGCTGGACAGTAAATGCATCACGCTGTTTCACAACGACACAGGAAGTAAATACTATAAGGTAGGACGAGCGCCGTCGCTGTCTCCTCTTAATTATTATTTCCTTTTTGTAGCACCAGTGACTAACAAAGTTTGGACTTTTTGAAGTTTGGAAAAATTGAGAAAAGAATAAAACCTTTTCTGTGATTTTCTTCATCTTCCTGTCGTCTCTGCAGGAGATCCCTCTGTCAGAGATCTTATCTCTGGAGCCAGCTCAGACCCTTTCTCTGCTTCCCGATGGAGCCAATCCTCACTGCTTCGAAATCGCCACGGCGTCGCTGGTTTACTACATCGGAGAGAACCTGCAGAGAGCTGAATCATCAGTGACCGGCAGCAGCATTCTGGTGAATAATATGATAAAATAGATCAGTTCAGGGTGTTGGACCTCCAGAGAGTCCAGCTCAACGCCTCCTGTTTTACTGACTGGTTTCAGGTCAGCGGGGTCGGCCAGGATGTGGCCCGGATGTGGGAGATGGCCATCCAGCATGCTCTGATGCCGGCTGTCTCTACAGGGATTTCCCACAGCTCTCACCGCAGTGGACACAGTAAGACACAGCTCACATACTGTATTGTTAGTGGCATCTGTCTTTAAATCGGGTTGTTTTTTGGTAGTGTCTTTAATTTTATTTTACCTTTATTTTACCAAGAATATTCGGAGATACAAAATCTCTTTTACAAGGGAGTTCTTACCAAGACAGCAGCATACAGTTTCAGATTAAAGAAAAAAACAATAGGCTTAAAAACAAAACAATAAAGCATTAAAACATCAAGCAGCAATACTCAGACCCTTGATACAGTAATTCAGATGATGATTGGTAAACAAGCCTTACTTCCTGCTGGTAGGTGGCGCTAGGAGTATGACTCAATATTGGCACATTAATGTGCTCAGAGTGAAGTTTGGGGCATATTGGGCAAAGTACTTTCAATACAATGCACCAAATGCTAAGAATGAACACAAAATCTAAATGGCCAACTTCCTGTTGGGTTTAATGTATGCGTTCAGGAAAACAGCATTTGTTCCTATAATAGAAACCCAACTTTACCCTGAGTTTTATTGTAAGACATTCGATATGATGTTTAACAGACAGATTGTTTTCTAGGAAAAAGAAGAAAGTATTTGTTACTTTAAGGTAATTGAAAGGGTCTCGACCTACAATCTGATATACACCAACCGTCTTCTTAGACCTTGAGACACAAATAATTTTGGTTGTCTGAAAAAAGTCTCAATCCGCAAAGATTCCTCTGAACATTCAATTCAGATTGCAGTTTTTAAAATTGCATTTGCATCAAGAGTCAGAACTATAAACAACGGTGTTGTCTGCATAGAAAACAGGCCCAGGTCATCATTAGTGAGCACAACATTAATCGCTATGCAGACGACACCCAGCTCTATATAGTGGTTGACCCTGATGACATGAACCCCCTTTAGTTTGAACATGTTTGTGAGGCTGTTTCTTTACAATTCTAACATTTGCATGTTGTTTCCTGTTTCAAGCCTCACAACAGGAATCAACAAACATGGTTTTGTTGTGATTTTGGCAGTGTGCGAGCCTGAGCTACAGTAGACATTCACAACAGAAACATTTACTTGTATCTTTAGATAATTACAGTTTCAGCCTCAGTCAGTAGACACTCACATTGTACTCGAGTGAAGATCACAGAGTTTTCAAACATACCAAATAAGGCAGGCTGGATTTTGTGTAAATGCTTGTTAAATAATGCACAAGACATCTAAAATATATGTTACATGTTTTTTAACCTACTCTAGGTGAAATGAAAGGGGAGGTTAAAGACACAGTTTTGTTTAATATGAACACAAGACAGCCATAGTATTGCAGAGAATCTGTCTGGATTTAAACTGGACAAATGTAAGTGTCATACTAGCGTTATCCTGTCTGTGAAAGTACAAATTTCCAGCTCAGGTATTAATGTTGCTGCTGAATTCTCCTGCAGACTCTCAGTTCCCCTCAGGGCCGTCGACGCCCACACACAAAACCCATCAGAGATATTTCAGACCTTCACTGACGTCAAACTGATCATGACTAACTGTTCACTGAGGTCTCAGTGCCTTCTCTGACTATGTGTGTTCACCTGTGGGGAAACTAAAATAATAGTGTCTCAACTGCCAGAAGGCTGCAGGCTCCAGATTTATATTTATTATTAATACATACAGTAAATAAACTGCTCAAGCTGAGTAAATACACAAAATGGACCCCCAGAACAGGTTTTAAAGGTGAAGTTAGATAAGATGTTACATTTTCATTGATTATCTGTGTTTCCTTAAATCTTTAATGATTCATTCTGAATGTTTTCCTCCAGTTTTAACTGTGATCACATTTCTGTCTCATCAACAGAGGAGATTTCCATCAGTATCTCTGTCTCCAACTGCCAGATCCAGGAGAATGTGGTGAGAAAACACACACATACAGGTGTAGAGGTGGCGTACAGCATACATACAGTGCCCACTGTAGCACTGATACCACACTGTAAAAACACCCTGGTGCAAGTGAAAGTCCTGCATTTAGAATCTAATCTGCTGATTATTTTCTCCATTAATTGTCTGAGAAATGCCGGCACACTTAAGAGCCCAAAGTGATGCCTTCACAGTGCTTGTTAAGTCCAAACAACCTGTGATTTGCCAAAAGTTCCCCTCACACGCCAGATTCTCTAAAGCCTGAAAAGAGCCAAGAGGAGGTGTAGAAATCTAGTTCTCTCCGACCACTTCAAATACAATATGCTAAAAGGTTAATACTGCCTAGCTCAGAAATATGTATATAAACAGTTATATGTTTGTGAACAGATTTGAGGAGAGAAATAGTCAACAGAATCTGGATCCATATCT